GTGTTTTTATAGTATTTTGATGTAGTTTGTTTTTTTTAAATTGTGAGTTATTGGAATCTTGCCGCTGTGCAATAAACCACGTGAACAGCGAACGTTCAGCTCTGCCTTTTAGCTTTAATTACAGCGGCAGCTGTTCGAAGTATAAATTCGATTTCAACATGAACTCGTTAGCGGAACATTTGAAGCTGTTGAATCGAAGGAACCCGTCAGCCCCGTTTTACAATCTTGAAGTACTGCGCTACGAGGTGATGCCCAAAGCTCCGTCCGAATCTCAGTCGAAGGACACCGCTGCTGTTGTACCTCTTCTGCTGCGCAGTTTCTGGAAGTGCTTCAACGACCATACCGATTTGTGTATCAGCTACAGCTACAATCCTGACTGCCGGTTGTCTGCACCACTTATCAACCTCCTCTACTCGATCAAGACCGATGGTAGCGTTTGCAGTGTTACATCCAAGCCTGAGGCGTCGTGGTAAGTCACCTTGGTAATGAGTTCGTGATTTTTAGCCTAGTAGTTTTTTCTTCATTTTTTGTATCTGTTGAATCACGCACTGGAAGACACTGGTTCGGTGTTTTTTGAGCTGTATTAAATCATTGAACTGAAGAGATATTACATGTCAGTGTGAATTATTCAATTCAGGTGCTTATGTTCGAGCCATGGTAGTATTTGTAGGTTTTGAACTTTAAAATTTTGTTTGACCGACGTTCATAACCCTTCGAACATGTATTACTTCCTCTTGTCTCCTGCGTTTTAAGTCATGTAAGCTGGTACAGTCTGTATATCGTAAATATGTTATATAGACTATTCTGTTTAGATTATATATGCTATGCAGTAAATTTAGTTTTCGCAGGATGTTTGTTCTGCATAAGCCGTACCGTGCGAACAACAAATACTGCGCCAACGTATGCAGTTGTATATATTGTACTATATCAAGTTCTCTGTGAAAGTTTCGTGGGTTGTACTTTACATATAGCTTGAACACTATAATCGGCATTATACAAGTACGAGACAGACCACATTCGGCAGATTATGCTTACTATATAGCATATATTATGTGCATGGAATAGTCTAACATGAATATATTATATATTTGGAGTGCTCAGTCTACTATATTGATGCTGTATCGTATATACAACTTGCACAATA